GAGAGAGAGAGAGAGAGAGAGAGAGAGAGAGAGAGAGAGAGAGAATTGGGAGAGAGAGAGTCTCAGAGAGAGAGAACTGGGAGAGAGAGAGTCTCAGAGAGAGAGAGAGAGAGAGAGGGTTAAACTGAATTAAAACTTGGTTATTTGCGCGCGGAACAGGCGGATGGGCCTGGGGCGGGAGGTGCGGGGCAGAAGGTTGTCTCGCCCCCTTCGACGGAGGTGTCGCTGGTGGTCTTGTCCTTGGCTGAGTTGTTGGTGAAGGTCGTGGAGGCGCACACTGTCGGCCCGACATCGTTGGCGATGACGCGAAGGGCACCTCCCAGCCCCTTGGGAGCGGAGTTAGCGTTCGAAGCGTGAGCTGGCTATGACGGTGCCGCCTGCTTCGCTGAGCAAGAGCTCTCCTCCGTTCTTTCCCGCGTGGTTGCCCGAGAATTCGCACTCCTTGATCTTCGCGCCGGCTTCGCTGAAGTTCGTCGCGCCTCCGTAATAGCCTGCCTTGTTGCCCGACAGCTTGGTCCGCCTCAGCTCCCCTGTGACGGACCCGCCGGGATGGCGGTCCGTCAGGATCAAGATGAAGGGATGAGGATGGGGGAGATGGAGATGGAGCTGGAAGGGACAGCGCAGCTCCAACGCAGACTCAACATGCACGTACTCCAATCTGTGCAAATGAAGAATGCCACAAAACAGACTGCAGCTGGGGTATGCCCCCAGCGGACTGACTGGACTGGACTGGCCTGGTACCGACAGTGGTACCGGGCAGGACTCGACTGGACTGAATAACCGCACGGCCTGTGGGGTCAGGCCACGGCCTGGTCCCACAGGCCGGACTGGCAAATAGCCAAATAGGCCCTGGCTRTGGGCCAGGGCAGATGAAGGCCCGCTGCACGATCCTCAGACCTGTAATGGATCGCAAGAGCCATAAACACGCTATCCGCAAAAGCAGCGGAACTCTGSAATAAAGAAAGCTGAGAAATCTAGGATGCGGAGCAAGCTCCATGTAGAGTCCATGCGATGCATCCAAAGCTGTATAATGTCAAAAGAAAAGCAAATGTCTGGTATACATATCCTAGCTAACAGCAGAAAATGAAATGTAGTATGATACATTCCTAAAGTCCTGGAGGCAGTGGCCTCAGTGCTGAAAGGAGAAGAGCAATATGTCACAAGATAATGTCATGTCGCTGAACCACTAAAAGTGGGATGGTCTCAGAGGGGGTGAATGCAGCCTAAGAATCGAAACTCCTAAGGGCAKTCACACATGAAGGTGGGATAGGTCATCAGGCTCAAGGTGGGAGAGTGGTAGCGAAACAAAACCAATGACCCTAACAGATAGACCATCAAGGCAGGTAATGCTCGACAAGGGTGACACCATGCAGGGTCGACCATGAAAAGACGGAACCTGGAATAGGGTGGAGATATGCCTAACTGAAGGTATGCAAGGGCCGGCACTAGGGTGATGAGGGCAGTGGGTGAGGGAAACATGCACACAACTCACCGACTGGGGGAGGAAGGAGCTAGATCTGGGAGCAGGGAAGCCAAGATAATGCTACGGTCCCAATGCCTATGCGATACCAAGGGAGAGCCCAACTCAAAGAGACCCAGCTAAGTGAGAACCATCATGCGACAGATGCAAGGGAATGTACAGGGTAGGGTGGTGGCGTGAAGCAGTCACGTCCAAAGTAGCTGAAACCGATAAGGTAGCTGAAGTCGTCGAATCGGTCGATGACGTCGATGAAGTAGTAGTCGAGTCGATGTCGAAGCAGAGCCGCAAAACGCTGACATCCTGAAGAAGAGCTGATGATGGAGTACCTGATGGTGTGAGTCAGTGGGGAAAGATGGAGGATAAGAGTGTCAGTCATCGTAACGTGAAGGGTGACGATGAGAGCGCTGTAGACGCTCGGAGGCGACCATCTGCGGCTGAGGAACGGCCTTAGAGGGAGCGGGCTCATCCTTAGCGATCTCCTCAGCTGGAGGAGGAGGAAGAGGGTCAGTCGGCTGAGCAGAAGCAGATGTCCCAGCACGACGAGCACGATCATATGCACGCACCTACATCCTGGCGTGCTGCAAGTGCTCGAGGGGCTCCCAAGTAGCCTCCTCATCAGGGTAGCCCTTCCAACACACAAGGTACTCGATGCGTGGAGGGGTATCGTCGGTAACTCGGCGTGATACGATGTCGGAAACAACGAACTCCTCGTGACCATCCACCATGATAGGTGGAGGGCGCTCATAAGGGCGTCCGACGAAGCGCTCGGACAGTCTGCGATAAGGACGCAGCAAGGAGACGTGGTAAACATCGTGTACGCGAGCCTGTCGAAGGTAATGAGGTAGCTTCACACGGAAGCTGACCGGACTAGCGGCAGTATCAGAGCCGACGGCCTGAAGGATGCGGCATGGACCGAAGAAACGACGCCTGAACTTGCGAAGCATATCTGCTTCGAGCTGTAAATGGCGTGCGTCGACGAGCACATCGTCACCGACTTTGAATGGATGATCCATTCGTGATCGGTTCGCTCGTGCGGCCATGCGAGTCAGGGAGTCGGCTAAAC